AATGTGATAAGAAAAATAGGATGCTGGTGGACCCGTTTCTGCACAACCTCAGTGGGGGACTACCGATCGTGAACTTTCCGTTCACCTTAGCGAGATACTTGCCCTGCACACCCGGAAAATAATCAATAGACTGTCAGGAAGCATGCACTGCTTTCTTCATCGGTATATCCTGCGAAATTCTGATGGTGCACTCCAAGCTGAGCAGGACACGATTTTTGCACTTTGGCAGAAATTTCCGTGCTGAGATGCCAAATTTACAACAACTGAGCATTTTGTAAGCGCCGCATGTCGCGCCATTCAGGATCGCTCCCAGATTGGTTCAACGATTGCTCTCCCGTCTCAACGCAGCTTGAATTTGTTGTTCTGTTGTCAACAAAACGCACCTCAAACCTCCATGCCGTAAGAGCAAGTGCACTTTTCTAACGGCGACTACGTGTTTCTCAGCGAACCGTGGCATGGCAGCACCGTTTCGCCAGTTACCTCGATTCCCAGTGCGCTCCAGTCAGGTCTTGGCGTCAATGCGCCCATTTTGTCCCTGAGGAAACGGAGGTGGAGAACTTCTTGTGTTGCTAGCATCAGCTTGTCTTCGGTTTCCTTCAAGCACTCCTGCACTTCGTTGTGTTTCTCAAGAGCCACAAGCTGCTTGGATTCTTCTTTCGCAGCCAGCAGCTCCCCCGCAGCCGCGTCTAAATTAGCACTGAGAGTTTGCACCTGTTCTTGAAGTCTCTTTTCGGTCTTCTGAACCTCAGCCTACACAAGGGAGATTGAGTTCATTCGATTCAACTTTCCATCAGATTGCCAGGCTGCATTTTTTTTAGATTCAAGTTTGGTTCCCCGAAGGAATATACTCAGGCTACAACTTTCTAAAAAGTGGGCACGGCACATGTATTATGGAGTCTGCACAGACCCGGACAGCGCACCAGGCGTTGTGCCTGTACACGCAGTGGCACCTCCAGGAGTGCCATGTGTGCAATGCGCGGGGCTTCGGCCTTGTACACGCAGTGGCATTTTCTTGGAGGCAATTCCACTAAGCGGCGGACTCAGCGCCCCTGTGGTGCTCATAAATCCAACTATCGAGCGGCAGAGGGCAACGATTTGCATGCAGACTGTTGTTTCAATTGTCCGATCCCTGTGTAACGTATTGTTGTACTGACCAGCAGCGGAATTGCAGGGCTGCACACAAGACACGTATAAAACCAGTTACTGAGTTTGTGATGCAGTGGTGCTCTTGGCGTGCGCTGCACGATCCAAATATCCTTTAATGATGTATGCCTAATGAATAACGTTGCTTGATGCAAAATCGACTCGAAGAAATGAGGTTGCTCGAGTGCTCGTACTCAATACGAAAATTATGTTTGGCGCATCTCAATTTGCGCATGTCTGCTTGAGTTTTCCTGCAATGAACACGATTGTCCTTGAGAAGTTGACGTTGAACGCGGAATAGCGGTATGCTGCTAACCTTGAATTGCTGTTCGATTGCTGTCTGTAACTCCAATGTGTCTTTCAGTTTGATATTTTCACGTCTGAGATTCAAGATCTCGGACTTGGCTTTCCGCGACTCCTTCACGGCCTGCTCTTCCGTCAGTGTCAACTTTTGCACCGTTTTCTGCAGGTCCTTATTCGCAGAGTCTGCCGCGCTCAGAGCATCTCTCAATGATGCCAAATGATCTTCTACACGGGCAACATCGTCCTGCAGCGACCCAACACTAGCAAATGGGATTTGCAAGGAGGCTGTATTCCTCAATAATCTGTTCCTCGCTGCCTCTAGCTACTGAAGTTGCAACGTGACCCTTCCTGAGCTGGTCCCACCGCACTTCAAATGGCGCTTAATGACACGAATATTAGGAATAGATATGAGGCGAAACGAACCAAGTTTACAATGCGCAACTGCATGTGCATGATCCAGTACAAGTGTAGATAATTGGTATTTGCCTTGTTAATATTATGAGCATCAAACACAATGCAGCAATAATTAATAGTTCCACGCAAGTCACAGTATGCCGGTTGTAAGTAATTGTTGACATGGATAGCTACCTCACTGGTCCCGGGAATGATCATGGGTTGCATGGCCAATGGTATATCCTGAGGTTCTCAAGCTTGCCAATTAAGGAGCTTTGTGTCCTGCGCGAAATATCCATGAATAACTATTAAATGCAATATTCCGGACAACATTTTTTGGCGCGGTATCACACTACCCACATTAAGCCTCACCTTGCAGTGATATCCACATATGTAGGATCGAATTATGTCCCTTGCGTGGATTAAATTTGAGAAACTCCTAGCTTTGGGGAAATTGCACACATTTTGAAGCCGTTCTATCATGCACCCATATGCATGGACTTCGTATCTGTGATCTAAGGGACATACAAATCGACAATATGCAACGAGGCCATAAAGCTTCAAATAACTTTCAAGACAAGTGACAATTACTCTCTTCCATGACAACGCAAACTCTCATTGTACATTTTCATTTTAGTGAATAAGCTGGTTGGGGAGTATTTGCACATGTGATGGCACTCAGTATCACGCAGATGCAAACTTAATTGTGACTAAATGAAAACAAGTCCTCACCGAGTATTGATGTTTACCCTCACAAAGCCCTAATGCATTGTTTTGAGCGTTGTATTTATGCATTTTGGCATTTCCGTGTCACAAACAAATGGCACAGAGCCTACTACCCCCCCCCATTTCCATTAACTTTTCAATTGTTTGTTTGCCATTGTGTGACTTGCTCAGTCCATACCATTTCTTACAAGTTTCCCCTATTAGATCGTGTGATGGGTATTTGGTGATCAATTCCACTGAAGTTGACATGGCACGCGGTCGTGAGCAGCCAGTCTCACTTGCCGTTGCAACAACGCCTTTTCCCACTCTTCCTTGTCTTCCAAGAATTTCTCCTTCTCCTTTGCCAGTTGCATTGCCACCACGAAGTATGGCACTTGAGTTATTGAAAGAGCTTTGTCCTCCGTGGTGTAGTAATCACTGTAAATGGATCGCACCTGCATACGGAACATTCAAGTGTCACATCAACACAATCCTGTCACAATCCTCCAACAACTTCCGGAAAGGGATATGTTGATTACATCAGCGCGCTACTTCTTGCGGAGGACAATTTTCTTCGTAGGGACATGTATCTCACCAATTCCTCATGAATCATCTTGAAGACCTTTCGAAAGGGCCCACACATCTCCCCAAGCTCTCCGAGAACCTGCAGTGTTACCGCCGCAAGTAGGCTTTAATTCATGTTACATCCTATGTTCCTTCTGCATCCTCCACTGACGCAGTTAGAATCAATGAACATTCATTCAAAATAGGTGCGAACTTTCTGATAAGAAATCTCAACGGTCGGAGGGGATGCGCCAATTGTTGGCTCCTTACGAAAACAATATTCAGTGTATCCGCATTCCATTATTGCTACAAACGGGACACACGCAGCGTATTACTACCTTCACATAGCCACAACCATGTGTATGTGGTTGTCTACATTGTTGTTGTTACATTTGTGGCTATGTATGATTTAGCCCTATATTGGTGCTGGCAAACAGACATTTTCTTTCTTTGTTAAGCAATACAACATCATCAGCATGCTTAGATTGGTGTGCGTATTTCCTCTCAACTTGTGCAACATGCAAGACCGTGCGAGCTATCAGTCGAAGTTGTGTCGAGACAGATGGCCTGTTCACCATGCCTACCAACAGCTGAGCCTGCTTACAGGGTATCCCTGCCGATGCTGACTGTTTGGGCAGAAGTTGCAGTGGAGCTGATAATTTTGAACGTGAGCTAGCGAGAAAGTTTTGATGAAACGAAGCTGTGCGGGACATGGAGTAGGATTGAGCACTGCAGCAACAGCAGATGCTTTGCTCTCGCCAAAAGTGCACCTGGCAGGAAATTGCTGTCTTTAAAAGATGCGGCCGTCCTGCGTTGCCGATTCCATGGGAAGCGCCATCCAAATCCTTATGCTTGTGGATTGCTTCCGCCAGTCTCGCTTCAGCGTACACTCCCAGACTCTTGAAATTGTTCAGCGATAGCTCGCGGGAGAATCGTCCAGCTTGGGATGCCCATGACATCGTTTGAATGTCATACTTTTCTGAACAGGACCTCCAGTGCTTGCTGCTCCATCACAAACCACAATCAGGTTTCGCGTTGGTGTCGTTTTCCTTGGGCCCCATTTGCAAGAATGGGTATGACACCTTCCATGCACATTCAAGGTGCTGGCGGGCAAGGTGTTCATGTGGTCCAACAATTTCATAATCCATGTGCATATGGGTGTGCTCTACAGAATTGGCATCTTGCCATGATCTTTCAGTTATGCAGCAGGACACGGCATTCACATGTTCATTGCTTCACATTCCCCAGAGAGTGATCCGTGATTGTCATTGAGCATAAAAATGCACGGCCAACTTTGCTGCCTGGCAGGAGGGCGAGCCGGTGCGCTTGGCAGGGAATGCACTGACAACGACGCCGTTTCCTGAGCGCGCACCTTGTGGATCTTGCCTCACTCTCCAGGTCCTCATGCTGGCAATTGAGCCCCTCCACTCCATTGGGTCCAGTCAAATGCGGCTGCAGCAAGGGCAGCTGGCGGAAGGAAGTCTGTCAGCGGCGTCGCCGCGGGAACCCAGGAAGCCGAAGCGCAATGTCTCCCTGCCCTCACCTTGAGCATTCTGACACGACATCCGCCGTCGGCGGTCCTCCCCCGAGCAGCCTTCCGATGTGTGTGTGCTCCTGGCCGAGCAGACGGAATGCGGCGTCATTCCCAGTCAAGGGTTTACACGGTTGCGCGGTGCATGGCGTGAGGCGCCCCTGCCCCGGTAAATGGCCCATGTGGCCGTTTGCCCCACCAGCTCGATGTCCTTTGTGCGGTACTCTGGAGGCAGCTGAGAGTCGAAGGCAGGGCCCCGGCGCGAGGGCTGCACGAAACACACACCAGGAGAAAGGTTGGGAGGTCGTGAGCAGCGGCGCGGGAAGGGGGCCACAGGGCACTGGCAGGGGCCGCTGGGGCAATGGAGACCCACTCTGCAGTTCGTCGGCTGGGCGGGAGTCAGGTGCCCATCGGCGGAGTGCTTCACAGCCCCCTCCTGCCGATCGGCCGCAAACGCGTTAGGTTGATGAGACGGCCGTGGGTCTGCAAGTCGCCGATTGGACAGTGCCCGGGAGAGCTGTTGCGCACTGGGAAAGAGCACGAATGGCATGGAATTGGATTCTGCATGGCGACTGTCGTTTGGGGGCAGCTGTTGAAGCCTGAAGGTTGGCGAAGACCAAAAGGAAGAAAGGGGGGCCTTGTGGGCGCAAGCGGGCAGCCATTTTGGAGAGCGCCCCTGAAAACTATAGAGTCTGAGCGGAAGCTGGCGAGCCCCCGCCTGCCAGCGGATCTTCGGGCTCGGGTGTCTGCTGCTGTACAGAAGCTGGGCTTCCGTGTGACAGTCGGAGACGTTGCAGGGCAGGCAGGAGTAACTATAGAAGAAGCTGAGGAAGCGTTGAAAGCTCTTGCTGCAGACTCTCTGGGTACACTAGAGGTATGTCAACCGAGTTGCGTATGCGGAGCATTGAAGCGATCTGGTTGTTCCGCTTTTTCTCCTCGATACTGCTGATTTCCAGAACTCTCTGTACTTCGCACTGCATCGTGCAGCAGCAGAGTGTTGAACAGGGCGTTTTGTCCAAAACTGTGTGTGAGTTGAGGCCACATTTGCATTTTCTCAGGTGTCTGCGGGTGGCGAGGTTGTGTACGTCTTCGAAAAGAACTTCCAAAACAGTATCCGAGCCAAGTCCATTTCTCTTCGACTGGAACCTGCCTTGCAAACAGCCTCGGCAATTGCAGCTTACACCGCCCGTGTCACATTTGGCGCAACACTGATAGCTTCTTGCTTGATTGTGTGGGCTGCACTGATTGCAGTCATGTCATCCCGTTCAGACTCGAGCGACAGAAATGGTGGAAGTTACAGCCGGTATGTTCTCGCAAACTACTTTGCAACCTCTTCCCCACATGCCCTAATATCAATGTGATTGCAATGGCCTGGTGAATTGTAGTTTTGCATATATGCAGCACTTCATGTTGCCGGATGTGGCCGTCAACAAGGCTCCTGATGTTGCAGTAGCTATGCTGTGGGTTTTTTCTACTGTGGCATATGCAGCTGATTTGTTTTGGTCCCAGCACAGCACCTGTGGAAGTCATACATACCACATGGCACATCCACATACTGTTTTTGTGCCTGTCTTTTGGTGTTCAGTGTGACAACAGCAGCAGTTTGAATAGGGTGGTGTGTTGGCAGCCTGCCATGTGTCCTGTTCCACTAGTTGCCAAAGTGAATCGCAGTTCCTGCATATTCAGTCGTCGATCAGTTTTGAAACGCTGGAATTAAGTGTTTGAATGTGTGTTTCCATTTACTGGAGTGTCAGTTCCTTTGCATGTCCTCGAACGGTTTGCTTGCAGACTCACACTACTCTATTGCGCAGACTTGTGGATTGTGTCGTGGTTGTTAATGTTGAATTTTTTTCACGTTTGGTTGTCTGTGACCAGATCATACTATGGAGGGGGTCTGTATTTCAACATGTTTGACATGATTCGAATACTGCAGTATGTCTTCCTCGCGCAGGAGCGTCAGGAGCCTGAGGACATGAATTTTTTGGAGTCCATTTTTTCAGTTGTGTTTGGAGATGGTGACCCAAACAGAGGTTTTTCTGAGAAACGCTGGAATGCCATTGGTCAGTACATACAGGTATGTACATACAGATGTAGTACATCATAGGCAGGCAGTGTTGTGCTTCCTGAAGACAACCTCTGAGGCCTGCTGGATGTGACGGAAGGGGGAAATGGGAGGGTTGCTTTGCTGACCATAGTACAGAATGTGCCGATTGTTTGATTGCTTCATTTCAGACGTCACTTTTGTGCCATAGGCCAAAGGAGGTGTTGTGACTGCAGAGGAACTTGCACCATATTTGGATCGTACCAATCGCAAGGCTGGATCAGGCGGTTGGGAATGGGGGGAAGGGGCTGAAGAAGGTTACGTGCTTCCTGCTCTCTTGCGATTTGGGGGTGAGGCTGAGGTGGACAGTGCAGGCAACCTCTTGTATGTGTTTCCCAAAATGCAGGCAACCAGTGCAAAGGTGAGAGCACGGCAACCTGACCTCAGTCCACACTAGAGGGAAAATGAAGTGCATATTTGGGTCAGCAACCTGCCTTTCTATTTGTTGCTTGACAAGAGCATCCATGGCAGAATGGACACAGTCATGTGCAAACCTGTGTGTCACATGCTGTGAGAGTGGACGATCAGAACAGTCCCACACTTCCAAATCCTACTGTTGAGCTGGAAGAAACTGCAAGAATTCAGTCCTATCTGGCGACAATTGGTCGTTGAGCATTGGTGTCTCCACACAACTCAAGGATGTTGGGCCATGAGCCAATTGAGTCACCTGCTGAACCCACTTTGGGTTGTCTGACCTCCATTAAACGTCCCTAATTCGACAGGTGGTGGGTATTAATGACTGTGCCCTTGTGATATCATTGTGGCAGGCCATGATCAAATGCCATGTCCTGGCAGCCATGCCTTGATCACTCAAGTAGCACTTGCTTAGATGGAGATTGCCTTAGTGGGGAAAGTGCACTCAGCCATGCAAGGGTGGTGTTCTTTGTAGCTTTTTTGTTGTTGATACAGGGCCTGAATTCAGTCAAAGCACAGGAGGTTAAGCCCAATGTCCAGCAGGCATTTGGCAGTTTGGCTGGCAAAATGCACTTGGGTGCTGGCACTGATGTCCTATCAGTGGAAAGCCAATGCAGGTTTACAATACCTTGTTCAAGTTGGCACTGCAGAGTGTTGCTGGTCTGGGGAGCAGCCTGGCAGCATGGAATGTTTTGCATTTTGTGTGTCAAATATAATGTGTGTCTGTCCTAACAGTGGAAACCACTGGAGACTTTTAGGGGTGCTTTGGGCCAGCCAAGTGCCTCGTACGTTTTAGAGGAGAAATGGCAATTGACCAAGGCTAAAAAGGGCCAAGTTGCTGGAGCTGGATTCTTAGCTGTTGCGAACCTTGTGGGTGTGCTTTGGCTGTCTGCTGAACTGGCTACACGTGCTGTTTGGGGGCCGTGGCTACTTGCGCTGAAAGTGTATGCTGCCAGTTTCTTCATCATACCAGCCATCAGGTGTGTGAACATGTTGTTCATTTGACAGATTCGGTGTGATAAAGTGTCCTCACACCAACCATGATCCATGGGCACTGTTTTTTTTTGTTGAATCAGACCTGTGCGGTTTCAAAAGAGGTTCCTTGCAGCAAGCACTTGAATGTCTGCCACAAAATCCTTTGGGCCTTTGCAACTACAGGACCATCGAATTCGCAACAAGCATTTGGCAGTTTCTTGTGAGAGTGCAGAGCACTGTGCGCCTTGAGGAGGACCGAGGTGGCCAAATGACTAGTGGCTGGCGAAGAACACCTACTTTGTCTTTGGAGTTTTGCTGGTATAAACTTTCTGCCTCTGCTGCCCCCTGCTCAGGCTGCCTGACACGACTGCGGATGGTGATTTTCAGGTACCTTCAGATCCAGAATCGCAATGCCCAAATCGAGGATCGCAACGATGCACGATTGTTGGGTGCACGGACGCTAAAGTACCCTAACCGACAACTCACTGAAAAGTTGCGCAGTGCACGAAAGCTGTCCAAGCGGGAAAGGGTGAGGAAAGAAGATATTGTGTTCACAACCGCAGAAGATGTTGAGAAGCAGGCTCAAGACTGGGAAGGAGAAGAGTTTGATACCCGGCTTTCCAAGTTGTGATGTTCTGCAGGAATTCAGGAGCAAAGCAATTTTAAGGGGGAATCTTGTGGTATCAGCAGCGTTGAATTGCGGCTGATGCTGAGGCAGTGGTGATGATTTCGCTACTGATGCCATTCGTCTGTGCGCAGTGACAATACATTCAACTACCCAAGGAGACACATGTAGAGCGTGTTTGCAGATTAGGGTGTTGAATGGGTGGTGTCTATTGCACCGCGGTTTCTGGTGTGCAACCCGCAAATGTGGGCTTGTTTGGGGCTAAGCAGAGCACACCAGAGCTTTGGCTTGCCAAGCAAGGTGGACACGATCCACGCCTTGCAGCTGCCAGAGTGTGAGGGCTGTGATGCTTGTATATTGCAGGGCCGCATCCTCAAACTCAACTGAGCAGGTGTATGGACCAATACAATACATCCCCAAGCATGGAAGTGACCAATAAACGCAAAGATTGGATAGCCTGACTATGTGCCAAGCCCGTGCATGTCATGTTGTGCGGTGATGGTCGTGTGAACGCACTGCAGTGATGTTACTATAGTTTCTGCCTCACCAGTCTCCGTCCCCCCCCTTAGTTCCCCACATGACAAGACATTACACTTGCAAAGGTATAGGTATCCATCACCTCACTTATACAAGACCCGATTGGCGACCCACTTGAAATTTGCCCTCGCTTCGCATAGCTCTTAAAGCCACACTGATGGTGACTCAACCCTGAGCCAGCTCTCCATTTCTCATACTTAAACTTCTCTCCAGCCCACAACTAACCGAATCTCACTTTATTATGGTGGGCAGGGTTGGTGCGAAACAAAATAGAGGGGAATGACAAGGGTCACACCCAAATAACCATTCCCACTTACTGCCACCAAACTTCCCGCCAAACCTAAGTTCCAGCATGACTAGTCCCCATGTCTATGCCCAAGTTACAAGGATAACCCGGTTGCCCATTGGATCCAACGGTCAGAATTGACCCTGGTTGCAAGGGTGACAGAAACCAGTAATTGATGGCCCTGAAACGGCCTAAAATGGCAACCCTGCCGAGAAGGGCCAGTGCGCACCCACCTAACATTGTCCTTGGCAAAACTCATTTAACCCGGCGGTATTTAAAATAATTCACCGTCAGTCAAGCCAGGCCTGCCCAGTAGTACAGCCCAAAGCACAGCGGCAGCCCGCAACGCATCGACAAGCCCACTGCCACGTTGGCGTTCAAACACGCCCTTTTCGCACAGTGGCAAGCCTCGCGACGCCGGCTACGCGCCCCTTGGACGAAAGGTAAAATTCCGACACGGGCGATTGGCATTTCTTGCCGTTGGCACACTGCGAGGTTTCGAGGCGTCGGCAGCGAAGTGGGCAGCAAGGCGCAAGCCAAGCGAGCACTGATCGCTAATGCACCGAGTGCGAATGTGATTGGGCCCCGCCTATGACAATCCCCAGTGATGGAGCCAATGGGACCGGAAGCGGGGCGGACGCACAAGGCAACGCAATGTGGCGCAAGGAGGGGAGCTGCTTGGACTACAATGGTGCAAGGGCGGCAGGAATGGGTGCCCGGAAAACGCGAATCCGGGAGCACAATGCGCGTGTCGCGGGCGCGCGCTCCCGCCACCGCCAAGTGCCCTTCCAATGTGGTGCAGAATGCGGAAATTGGCACCCCGGATGCGCGAGTCATGGCACATGCCCGTGGTTCCCGGGCGCCCATTCCTGCCAACCCCTGGGGCCCGTTACAAGGTGGCACGGGCAGCGCGAATCGGCCCCGAGGAGGCACAGGTCGTGGATGGTGTCCAGCTCCTGCCACTCGGGCACCCATTCACGCCACCCGGGGGAACCGTTTCAAGCCAGCATGCGCAGCGAGGATGGGCGCTAGTGACACGCAGCTCACGGGTCGTGGGCGCTCATTCCCATGCATTGCTCGCCACCTCTCATGCTCGCGGGCGCCCATTTCTGCCACCCGCGAAGGCAGTTCCACGCCACCGCGGAAGGCAAGAATGGGCGCCTGTGAGGCGCCAATCCAATGGCACCCGTGGGGCCCCGCGGGCGCCCACTTACGCCACCGGCACGGGCCGTTCCAGGCCACCGTGGGTAGGGGGAATGGGCAGCCGCGAGGGGTGAATCACGGTGTGCCTTGCCACCTCGTGGGCAGCCGTTCCCGGCATTGGCAAGGGCCGTTTCAGGCGACCGCAGGGGGGCGGGAATGCACCCCCGCCAAATCGAATCAGTCGGCCCCCTTGGCGCCTCCCCGCACCCATTCCTCCCACCGGCAGTGGGAATGGGTGCCCGCGAGGCGCCAATCCTCCGGCGCTTCTCATGGACCGCGAGCGCCCAATCGCGCCACAAGCGGGGGGCGTCTCAAGGCAGAGTGGGCAAGGTGTTTGGAAGCTGGGGATGCACCGATCGTGTGGCGCATCTCCCGCCTCACGGTGCGCCCACTCGCGCCATCGGCATAGCCAATTCTTGGCGACTGCAGGTGGCACGAATAGCCACCCATGAGGCACAAACCCTCCCCTCATGTTGCGCCTCGTGGGCGCCTTTTCGCACCATCGGCAGGGCCCGTTTAAGCCAGGTGGGAGGGGTGATTGGCCACCAACAAGGCGCCGATCGTGCGGCGCATCTCGTGCCGGGCGGGCACCCACTCGCGCTATTGGCGGGGCCCGTTCCAGGCAACCGCAGGTGGCGCAAATGGGCACCCACAAGGCGCCCATCCTCTCGCGCCTTTTGCATCTCGTGGACGCCCATTCAAACAACTGGTGGGGGCCCATTCTAGGCGACGGCGGGAGGCGCAAGTGGGCACCCACAAGGCGCCCATGCTCCCGTGCCTCTCACGCCTCGTGGGCGCCCATTCGTGTAACAGGCGGGCGGCCATTCTAAGCCACCATGGGAGGCAGGAATGCCCGCCCGTGAGGCACCAATCTGCCAACTTGTCTAGCGCTTCGTGGGCGCTCATTCGCGTCGCCTGCTGTGGCCATTCCATACCACCGCAGGCGGTGCAAATGGGCGGCCGCAAGGCGCCAATCTGCGTATGCACCCCGCACCCTCGCGGGTGGCCACTCGGGACACTAGTGGGAGCCCATTTGATGCCCCCACGGGCGGCATGATTAGCCGCTGGTGAGGCGCCAATCCTGCAAGGTTCAGGCGTTCGCGGATAGCCATGAGCAAAAAAAAAAAAAAAAGGGTAATGGGCGCACCTATCGTTCCAAAGGGGCAGGGTGCGCCGGGCAAGAAGATACCTGTGGGACCAAACATCAAGTTGTCGAAAGGAATGCAAGTGCGTGTAGAAAAGGGCTGAAACAAAATGGGAACCCACCAAAAGGACCAGCCCGGCAAATATAGTTAAGACATGCAGGACAGTAATCATAAAGTAAACTGTACATGCAACATAACGGAAAGGGAGCACCGACTCGAGAAGGAGCTCGACAAAAGGGTGCAGATCCCAAAAGCAAGCAATGACCCGCGCTGGTCGCCACAGAAAATGGGGCGACAAAACCAATCAATACAAGAAATCGGCCTGATCCTCACCGTTGATGTTACGCGCACCAGCCTGATGTGGGAGACGTCCTACTAATGGCCCTTGGTGTGGGGGACGCCCTGCCCAAGGCACGTACTATTCCTCACCCACTGTAACCTTTATCCATATTGGGATACGGGAGTAGGAGGGGTGGTCCCGCCTAGGTGCCCTGTAAGGACCTAGGTGCCCGGCGAGGCGGGTCCGCGGCTCAAAGAGGGCAGGAACCCCACACCCACATCCTATTCGTAACATTTGGCTTCGGAGCCGCCTGAGGGTGGCGGCCACGCTTCCACCTGGGAGCGCGCGAGAGTACAAGACGCCGAAGCCCTTCCCCGGCCTCCTCCATGGAGGCTGAGGAATCGGAGGAACAAGCCCGGGATGGGCAGGGGGAAGGACAAGCCCGGGATGGGCAGGCGATCGAAACAGCCCGGGATGGGCAAGGAACTGAACAAGCCCGGGATGGGCCAGGAGGTGTAACAGTCCGGGAGGACATGGCTGGACCCTCCACAGCCACATCGGCACCCGCAGCAGAAGATGAGCCGATGGAAGAAGTGGATACCCCGCCGGCGGCGGAGAAGACGCAGGAGCAAGACCAGGACGCAGAGGCGGCGGCGACGTTGCTGAAGATCCCCGGTATCAAAGAGCTCCTGCAGAAGATGGCGGATACCGCGGCCGAGAAGGCGAGAGCGAAGCGGGATGAAGAGACCGCCGAGAGGATCGCCTCGCTGGAGATCGCCGTCAACAAGGCCAAGAAAGAAGCTCGAGAAAAAGAGCTGGCCATGAAGAAGGCGAAGCAGCAGAGCCGCGAGGCCCAAGAAGCCAAAACCTCCGCCGAAGACCAAGTCAAGGCGTTGAGTGACCGCCTCCTGAAGCAAAAGCAGCGGGCCCAGGAGGCAGAAGAGAGAAGCGCCCAACAGGTGGTGCCAGCTGTGAGGGCCCCCAGTCCGTCGGAGCTGCCCATGCCAACCATTCCAGAGGAAGACTGGAAGGTTGCTGGCAAGCAGCGCTCCAAGCGGAAGAGTCCATCGCCAGGTGAGCGGCCGATGGAGAGTGAGAAATCTCCATATCAAGGCCGGGAGGCCAAAGCCTTAGGGCGAGTTGAGAGAATGCAAGGCCGGAAGGTCAAGATCCCGGAGCTACGGCTCAAATCCCAGGTGTATGTGAGAACACCTAGTGGATCAGACGGGACTGGAGATGAGTCGCTCACAGAAAGCGCTCAAGCTGTTTGCGGAAAAAGTCCGCCAAGGCCGGGAGGCCATAATTGGAGCCCTCGGAGGCCTGCATTACCAGAATGGGGGCCTGGTGAAAGCTCAAGAGTGCTGGAGTTCGTTCCAGACACTCGAGATCCATATAGCCGGCAACCACCGTGCCGTGCAATGTGGACAAAGTTCCATAGTGATCTCGTCGATGAGCTTGACGAGGGGTGGCGGATGGCCGCCGACCAGTTTGGGGAAAGGTTAACCACCGCCAGACTGGTTAGAATACAAAGGTGGTATGGTCCTGGAATGGCAGA